GGGTGCAATTCAACGTGCCTAAATAAGCAGTTTCATCTTATAAATACTAAACAGGAAGTTTATTGCGGTTACCATCAATGTACAGAAGATTAAACAGAAAGTCCACAAACTTTTGCAACAAAATATTGATCTTTTTTTTGTCAACCCTTCAAAAACTAATAGATCAATAAATGGACGTCTAGATAGGTTTATTTCTATTTAATGTATAATATTTGAACTTGAATACCTAAGTTTCATAGTCTGTTATGACAGGACAGAATAAATATGGCTGTCCACAAACTTTTGCAACAGGGTGTAGTTCGCCTGGTTGAAGATGGGCTTTCTGGGGATGAAATCCAAAAGACCCTTGGAATGAACGAGAAGAAGATTGAGATTCTGTTGAAGAGTCTCGAAAGAAGCGGTGTCGTATCGAGACGAAATGGCCTCTTTGGCTACGAGATGGCTGCTGCGGCAGAGAGCACGACCAGTGTTGGATTTGCCCTTGACTCTGCCCAAAAGGGCCACATTGACATCAAAAACAGTCGTGGATTTGTTGATATCAGCAATGTTGATTTGGACTACTTCTACAACAGGGAGCATGACACTGTCTCACGACTGATGGCGATGGTAGCGAGGGTGCTGAAACAGAAGAAGAAGGTTGAAGAAGACGAGTTGAGAGCACATGTCACTGCTATGTGCGGAGAAATGGTGGATGATGAGTTGTATCAGGGCGTATTGAAACAGGCACAAGAAAGAGGGCTATTTGAGAAACACGGTACAAACTACACGTACATGATATAGGGTAGTAGTTATAGTAGGTAGTTAGGTAGAGTAGTGGTTATAGTAGGTAGTTAGGTAGAGTAGTGGTTATAGTAGGTAGTTAGGTAGTTAGGCAGTTGAGACTGTGGTAATCATGCACCATTTATTGTATATAAAGTTATCAAGTCAATCACATCATCATTTTACTATCTATATCATACAAACACAATACAATCAGTGAACATGATTGACACCGTGCTATTGTTTCACCATTTCTGATCTCATCCACCGTAATAACAAAGTCATCTCCACATGGACATGGATACGTGTATGTTCCACATTCATCATCGTATTCGAATTCAGAGAGGTGGATCTGGTCGTAGTGGCTGACATAATCAGCCGCCTGTTCAAAATACTGGTCGTAGGAGAACTCCCTTTCCATGGGTGAAAATGGCTGTTCTAGAACACTTCAATCCTCTCATTTTTCATACTGAAAATGCCCTGTGAAATGACAGATGCCATATTCGACAGGCAGGTGCGTCTGTTTGGGACTGAGACACAAGAGAGGATTGGTGGCACCACAGTGGTCGTAGCAGGAAGAGCAAACAAGATCAGTGCTGAGATCGTGAAGAATGTGGTGCTGCTGGGAGTGTACGAGGTCAGGACGACTGAGGAGATTGCATTGGAGGCAGAGAGGCTGATTAAGGGCGACCTTGGAACAATAAACGAAAGAGTGAAGATAAACAGGAAATTACGAAATGACTCAATTGGAAGGATGGGCCATGGTTACGGAATTGTAGGAAGACTCCTTGACTATTTCAGGGGTGAATCCAAGAATGATAAAAGTAGCCTGTTTTATTTTCTGATTGATCAGGATCATTCTGGATTGGATGTTGGATACTATTTCGTATGCTCAGGATGCAGAACAGCAGTAAAGAACAGCTGTGTGCACCAGTGCATTCGCAAGGAAGGGGCAGGAGTAGACAATCGCATGCTTGAGCTGGCTAAGGACCTCTACGTTGGTGCCACTGTTGTACAGGAATTCATCAAAATTGTGGATGGGAAACCAGAGACAGCAGCAGCCACATTTTCAGCCGATGGCCTATGAAATGCAATTTAATAAAACTATGAGAATAATAGGTTATTTTGGTTAGGGAGACTGAATACCCTATTGTACCACTCCAACTACTCTTCTTTCTCCTTCTCACTCTTTGTCCATTCGTAAGCAGGTCGAAAGCTCTCAAAGAAGCCACAGTCAGCAAAGAGATTCGGCCAAATCCAGCACTGTTCCCGAAACAGGAAGAGCGTGATCGTGTAGACCGCAAGACGAACCAGGGCAGCAACGAGCATGAAGAGCAGGAAGCCAAGGACGGGGTAGCGGACGTAGTAGAGGGCGTATCGGTGCCAACGTGGGAAGAAGTGGAAGAGGGCAACAACGCCAATGGCAGCGGCAGCCAGGAGAAGCAGGACGCGATGGACCATCGAGTCGTCCTCGTGCTCCCAAATGAAGAGGTCTGTTCCACTCAGGTGCCTCTTTGCGCTGATATCGTCAACTTTCTCAACTCGAAACAGAATTCCCTCATCCATCAAGTACGTGAACAGCGCCTTGATCTCCTCCATTTTGTATTCCTTTCCTAATTTGATGATGGCGTGTTTGAATTGGAACACGTTGACTCGTCTGGTGCTTCGTAGCAGGAACTCCTCGCTGGGCAGATTCCTAAGCACTGCCACCATTTTCCTGAAGTTGGCTGGGGGATTGTTCATTTAGGGCTGTTTGATACAAAAATAGATTTAGTGGTCTGTTTGCTGTTTTGCTTAGTTTAATCAATATTGATCAGTTATTAAGGTTATCATGGTGTTATATTACGT